GAAACACAAAGGAACTAACCTAGACGTTTGATAAGTAATCTACAGTATTCGTGTCCGTGTTGTATCCAATATACAAACTCTCTGCTACGCCTCCAGTTTGTATATCGGATACAACACGGCCATTCATACTGTGAATAATATATAATATAATTTTTTCTTAATATATTGTTATTATTTTGAGTATTTTTTTAATGATCACATTAAGGTTTCCTTCTAGAGTGAGTGGTTTTCGAGGTCCTCAGTTTGCTAGACCATGGCACGGATCCACTGCCATTTGCTCTTTGCTTTCATTTTGTTCATGATTGTTGGCCCTTTTTGGTAAGTGCATTTTTCAGAGTAGACGTGCTGCAGTTTGATAATTATTTTATCATTATGTGAGCACGAATCGTAATAAAATAGTGCCTATCGATTTTATCGTTTAGGGGTAAAGCTGTTTACACTAGAAGATCACATGCGGTAAATTCGTCAACGTCCGAAATTCAAGTTTTTGGCGATAAAGGTTGGTTAAAGTACCTATAATAGCTAACTTTATATTTTCAGTATTGATCTACATGAAGTGAATAGTTGAATGGTAAAATGTTTTTTATACGATTTGAGTGATGCATCTTGGAGATAACAAGGTTTATTCTTTCAATATGTTTGTGAAAGTGGTATTATGCGTATGTGCGGAGATGCGAGAGGATTTTCCAGAAGTTTGCTTGCGCAGAACCAATTTCAAGTGAGGCTAGAAGGAAATGGAGACCATATAGAGTTACAAAGATAACTGTTGACTAACCGGACTGAAGCGAAATATATGCTTAACCAAGGGAGCACATTGGAATTTTGTTTGTGTAAGGAAAGTCATTGTTCTTGGTTGTTCTATCTAGCGCGCGCAATGCATCTTGTGACAGACGTTCCTCGTAGTGTTTTGGTTTCGGCCGATCCGAATGGCTTACGATCCTGTAAGGAAGGGAATGACGTTGCTCCGCTCCTCGCAAGATATTCGTCGGTTTTCGGATTAAATTTGCTAGCCCGACTAAAGCAAGGAACGCCTGCCATGAAGTGTAGCGCGAGCACGTAAACAAGAACTACAAGGAACGCCTGCTATATCTTAAAATACGTGCGAAAAATCGAAGATAATCCAACACAATCAAAATTTTAACGTGCTCCCTTGGCTGAACTGCATGAACTCTAACTCTCTGAGTGGCTTTTATAGACTCTCTGAGAAAAAGAAGTCAACCTAGTTTATACTTGATTTTAAGATGACATTGTATTCAATTAGCATATTTGGGCGTATTGAACCAAGAGTAAGACTCGGGGAAAATATATTAAAAGACAACTGATTTAGAATTTGTCGATGTACAGAAATAGTGTACATTTCAAGAAAAATTCTGACATAACAAAATTCAGGTAATGTATAGAAATATCTAGGCAATCCTACATCAAAACTATCAATTTTTTTCTATTTAAGTTGAAGTAAATAACTACGTAGAACTAGCGAAAATGTCTCTACTGCGCAAAGCAGAAAAACTGGCTTTACACTGAAAAACTACAGAAGAGGTCTAAAAGTGCAAAACTCATTTCCTAGATTGTAACAATGCACAAAAATGATCGTTTCCTGGTAGTCAAAGTAAGTTGAAAATCATTAATTATAGTAAATTGCAAAGCGTTAATTGCCTATTTATAGAATGAAGTAAGACTAATGCAATTGGTTAATAATGCAGTAAATGTTTTCTTGCGGAGACCAATGGTGAAGGGTTTGATCTCGGTTGTCAGTTAAGATGAAAGGCACGAAAGATTCTGTGAAATTCCCGATATTTGAGGTTCAAAATTATAATACTTTTCGAAGGGTCACTCAAAAAACCTTGGGTTATCATGATAGCTTAGCTTCTATCCTTCAAAATCTCACCTTAGGAACTTTGACAAAATTAAATAATGTATAGTGACAGAAGTTTATGAACTTCTGATTATAGTGATCTAGAAATTATATTCAACCTGTTCATCAACTGAGATTTGACTGAGTTGACGCTCAATAATATAATACTACTGTAGACTACGAGTAAAACAAAATATTCTTTTAGAAATTTAAAATATTCTTTTAGAAGGGCACATATAAATAAGCGAAGAACGAGTGCAGCACAACCGAAACTTCCAAGAAGAGCGATTTCAAAACAGATTTTAAGGATGGTGCCTACTAATTGCGAACCATTTTTATTTTTTTCAAATTGTGCCAGTCATTTAAATTACCCAAGAGGCCACTGGGATCCGGAAAAAAAATTGGGCGTACCCACGCATCTAAACGAGATAATTGATGTTAAACACCGATGACGTAAGCACTTTTTTACGCAAGGGGAAAAATCATATTACGAAGTTGTTTTGATCGATTTTATCTGAAACTTGTTTCAAATAAACGACTATTTGTGCTCTTTATGTCAAATATATAAACTTCATGTATCATATAAGAAACCATTTTTTTAACCAAATTTTGCCTTCAAAAGTGCAAAATATGGTTCCAAAGGGATGCTACATTTTTGCTTACATTTGCATCCAAAACCATTTTTATTTTAAAAATTCTATTATAAAAAATAATTTAACTATTTGTGTTACATTTTGGACGAAAAAAAATGGGGGGTACCCACGCGTTTTAAAAAGTTATGATTTTTTWAAATAGTTTTTTGAGGATAAATCGGGTGCTAAAAGCGTGACAAGCGTGACGCGGCGTTACAAAACAGCGTGACTCGCTCTGTTTTTGACGTGTTTGCAGCAGCTCCTTCATCTCTTCGTGGTTTTATAAACAGGAGGAAAACTGAAAAAAAGCGATATTTCAAGCCTTCAAAGAACCAGAAAACTTATTCAATTCAAAGAACAATAATAAATAATTATTTCCTGTGTAGAAGATAAGATTTCCTTAAGCAAATGGTATGTAAATTTTTTTTTTTTGAAGTCGGAAAAAGAACGGCTTTTCATGAATGTTTCACGGCAGTCGTGCATGCAAAGCAAGAACCAGGCAAAAAATTTCGTAAAATACAAACCTACATTTAGTTTAACTTCACAAGTGCAAGAGACAGATTTAACAAATCAAAATAATAATTTTCTTTGTCAGTATGCTCTTTGCGTGAACGTTTTTGAATATACTTTTTGAGTGAGTGAAAGACAGTTTATGTAAATACGAGGTCTTCCAACGACAAAAGTTGATTTTATGTAATTGTACTCGCAGGAAGAGCTAAATGAATAGCTGATATTTGGTGTAATGTGTTATTCCTTTCCAATTTTCATTTAACTTTAAGACAAACTAAGCTTATCTGTATGGAAATATTGAAAAAGTTATTTTATCATTCACCCATCCGAAAACTGCCATTTCTAGAAATTAAAAACATATGATTTTTCGCCAAAAACACCTGAATTCTTGAAAATTACTCTGTGATACACCTTTGACTACATAAATAATAGTTATTGCTGTTGTTCTTGGTCTTAATTTTTTCCAAGGCCGACGTTTTCTGTACCTTTGAGTGTTTTGCTTTTGAAACCCGCGGGAATTCCTCGATGCAGATGCGCAATAAGTGTGTGCGCTGACAATAGTAGGTACCAACCTTAAACTCAACCAAAACTTCCAATGTTTCACTTTACATCAATAAAACCGTTTACAATATGACATTTTTTCACAATAGTGTGGAGGTATTAAAAAGTGAGCACATTCTCGCCTCTTGTTTATCGCTGTTCATAATCACATATATATACACACTCGATTGCAGAAACGTTGTAGTATACATTTATACATATATCTAACTTATTCAGTATATTTAATGATATGCAAAACAGAAAAATCGCTTTATTTATTGTTTGTTTCATTCAATGACTGTCAAAATATTTTTTCTTGTCTATTGGATCGTACAGAATAATAAATCAGTTGTTTTTAAGCGCTGAAAATGGTTATTTTGCATTATGCATCTCATTAGATATTTGTATAAATGTATAAATGTATACTACAACGTTTCTGCAATCGAGTGTATATATATTATATGTACTCACACTGCGGTTTGCATAAACTTTGACCTTTTCGCACATATACACAATTATATCAAAAGTAAAAATTATGGTATATCATTCCTTATGTATCATTTTTTTCGAGTTGCCTATCACTAAGGCTTTCTGAAAAAAAATGTCAGAAATGACATCCCATCATAATTTTGATGACGTCATACAGGTTTTTATGAACTCACATTTGATAAGATGTGGATTTCGACTCATTGAAAACTTCAAATTTGAAGCGAAGGCAAAAAGTTATTTCAAATCTGAGAAACATTTATGGCCTTCCTTGTCAGGTACTCGACTTTTTAATGTTAGTCATAAGTTTTGGACGCGGATTCTACGATAGCTAGCGAAAGACTTGGAAAACACTGATGTTTCTATTTTCACTGCATAATTAATGAACTCATCGCTAAAACTTATGTAACCCCCAGATTCCGACGTGATCATACTTATAATCGATAGCCATGATCCTTTGCGTCTCTGTCATATAAATATACGCTCCCATCTAGAGCGTGGTCACTTTAACATTTTTGGACCCCCCCCCCCCC